TCCTGAGATCTTACTGGGAAGCTGCTGATCACCAATTTCAAGTTTTTTCTATCTATTGGGAGACTGCTTTTCCCTGGTGCAGGCTGCAACCAGTTATTAGAGACAGTTTAACAATCGCCTGACCATCACCTGATGGTTGCCTGACCCTCCTGGTGGGGGTGGGGTGGGGGTGGATCCCTGTCCTGTCCTGCTCATGTCTGACTAGTTACCTGTAACAATTGGAGCTCACATACTTGTGACGTGAGTTTAAATTGGTGCAACCTCTTTGGGTAACAAATTGGGATGATCTTTAATGTTGGAAATATACACCCTCTACAACCCAAGAGTTTCATTCCTGGGTATGTAATTGACAGAAAGTGCATGGCTGGTTACAGCGGCTCACACCTACAATCTCAGAACTTTGGGAATCCAAGGCAGGAGGATTGCTTGATCCCAGGAGTTCGAAACCAGCCTGGGGAACATGGCAAAACCTCACCTCTACAAAAATACACAAAAATGAGTCGGGCGTGGTGATAAATGCCTGTCGTCTCAGCTACTCAAGAGGCTGAGGCGGGAGGAGCAATGGAACCCAGGAGATCTGGTGACAGAGTGAGACCCTGTCTCAAAAAGGAAAAGAAGGAAGAAGGAGGAGGAGGAGGAGGAGGAAGAGGAGGAGGAGGAGGAGGAATCCATGCACATGGATGCCCAAGCTAGAAAAACAAACCTGGAGACAATGACAAATAATTTAAATGTCCACAAGCCGTAGGATGTTGTAAATAAGTTACATAATAATGTGTCATAAATTGTAGAATACTTTACAGGTAATGACATGGTTCTATTTCTTAAAGTTGGTGGAAACTATGACACATGTGTTTGTTTCACATTTCCTTCAAGAAGTCTTTCCAAACACTCTGTCCCTTCCCCTGACCGGAAGTCAGAGGCAGACAGGCGCTTAAAGATCAGGAACTCAGCCCTCGGCTTCACCAACAAAGGGATGAGGGAAGGAGACACATGTCAGGGCTGCCCTTGAAACCCTCCTCTTGGTCTGCATAGGATGCCCTCCTCTTTTCCTTCTCATGCCCATCTGCCAACATCCTCTTCATCTTTTAAGGCCCTTCCTCTGGATCCTTAGAGACCACACTGGTCCATCTACCTGTTGAGAAAACTCAAGTTCAGAGAGGCTGAAGGATGAGCTTAAGGCATGCAGTCTTTAAGACGCAGCCTTGGCTCTCTGGAATCTATGTTCTCTTTAACAGCAGCATCCAGGGCTCATTTATGTCTGTACCTGTAGCACTGTTGATGACAGTTCCTTATAAACAGGAGGTGCTCAATAAATGCCATCTCCTCCCTCCTGATCTTTACTGAGTTTAAAAAATAGCTTTGTAAAACTATGGCTACTTTGATGTTGCTAACATAGAAATAACCGGCAGATGGCAGCATTTAGCTTTCCCAACTCTTAAGTTTGCAATTGCTAGTTTAAGGCCAGAAAAGTTGGTTTTTCTTTTCCATTCTCCAAACTCTGCTGTTGTCAGAGCCTGCCAACTACCCACTGCTCCCACCGAAAGCCTTATCCTACTACCCCTTTGCTGAAAAAGCATCTTGAGCATCTGCAGAAGCTCCAGTTTGATACCTGGTGGCAAGAGGGGGCACAATGACATGTAATGAGAGCATGAAAGCTTTTTCTCCTTTTTTTTTTTTTTTGAGACAGAGTCTCACTCTGAAGCCAAGGCTAGAGTGAAGTCGTGTAGTCTCGGCTCACTGCAACCTCCACCTCCTGAGTTTAAGCAATTCTCCTGCCTCAGCCTCCCAAGTAGCTAGGATTACAGGTGTGTGCCACCACACTTGGCTAATTTTTTGTATTTTTAGTAGAGGTGAGGTTTCAGCATGTTGGCCAGGCTGGTCTCAAACTCCTGACCTCAGGTGGTCCACCCATCTCGGTCTCCCAGCATGCTAGGATTATGGGCATGAGCCACTGTGCCCAGTTGAACATGACAGCTTTTCCCCTCCACAGAGCTCAATGAAATGCTGGTTCTCACAAAAGCGCTGAAATACCCTGGGCAGCAAGGGTAGCAAAGGCATCTTAGGGTTCTGCCTTTCAGCTGGATAGACAGACTCCAAAAGGCAAAATGATGAACTCAAAATTCACAGCAAGTTGAGATTTTCTGACTTGTAATCCCGTGCGCTCGCCTGTGTTAGTTTTCAAAGGTGAAATCTACCCTGAAGCTATGTCAGCCTGTATGTACAGAAAGGAGACCAGAAAGTTTTTTAAAAACTCAAAATGCTATATTGTAAATAATCAAGGAACAGCAGAGAAAAGAGTGTTGGGACTCAGAGGAGCAGACCGCACTAATTTCAGGGTTGGGGAGGGTGAGAAATTATGGCGTCAGAAAAGAGTTGTTGAAAACAAGGGAGCTCTCACCCTTAAAAACAGTCAAGACATGCACAAGAAAAGGAGCAATGGTGGAAATTCTAGATCAGGATGGCAAAGGTATGGCTTGGGGCTGCTACTCTCTTTCACCCTCCACTGCCCCCTGGCCCCCATACCCATGACAGACATTGGTAATCTATCATGGGATTATTTCCCCTTGAGCTCAGGGCCTGCTCAGAATCCATTGTGGACAGTGCGCCAGGCTCCCTCTACCAGAGGGAGATGACACCAGAGGAAGCTTGTCCCTGCCCTATTGCCTCTCTGGTGGGCACAATTTATTGTGTACTTACTGTGTGCCAGGAGTTGTGCTGAGCTCTTTACACACACCTTCCATTTAATCCATTTACCACATTCTCGGGAGTTAGGCATCCGTCCAGTTTTACATATAGGGAAGAGTGGGTGCAGAGGTGTTAAAAGCCTCATAATGGCAGAGCCAGGATTTACATCCAAGCCCATCTGTCTCCAAAGCCCAGGCTCAGAAACTGCTAGATAGGTGAGCTAAGCCAGTATGGAAGAAGGCCTTTGGTCTGCATCTTGTTTAGGCCTGAAGGTCAAGACCAACTAGGCTGCAGTGGAGCCTGACGTCCGGAGAACGGAGGACAGTAAAGATGCTTTTGTTTGCTCATTCATTCCTCAACACATGTTGATGAAGTCCTTGCTACATGCCAGCCACCTTGTAGATGCTGGGAGTATAGTGGTCAAACAAGAGAGACAAAATCCCTCACCCTCAATCAGGGGAGTCTAACAAATAAGTCAGTCAAATGTGTTATATGTCAGGTGACGTATGTGCTAAGGGGACCAATAAAGGCTGGGAGTGGTGGAGAGAGCCACATGGAGCTATATGGGACTCAGGCCTAGGCGATAAGGGAAGGATGACTCAGGAGCCTGAGCTTCTTGGAGTGACTGATGCATATAGAGATAAAGGCGTATGGGTCCTGATGCTCTCAGAGCAAATAATGATGGTGAGGTGTCTGTGGTGGGGGAGGAAGAAGGGACTGCAGGAACACATGGAGTTCCAGGGGCCTTCTTCACTCTGACAGTGACAGTGTGGCTGAGGGAGGGGCAGCCTTACCCAGAATACCCCCAGCTCCTGGGCTCCCTCCTTACCCTGGCAGATGTGGGATGGAGGCAGAAAGCCCCACTCATGCGTCATACATTTTTTGAGCATCTAATGAAATAAATTTCACCAGGTGCAGTGACCCATGCCTGTAATTCCAGCACTTTGGGAGGCTGAGGCGGGTGGGTCACCTGAGTTCAGGAGTTTGAGACCAGCCTGGCCAATATGGTGAAACCCATCTCTACTAAAAATACAAAAATTATCTGGGCGTGGTGGTGTGTGCCTGTAGCCCTCACTACTCGGGAGCCTGAGGCAGGAAAATTGCTTGAATCTGGGAGGCAGAAGTTTCAGTGAGCTGAGATCATGTCACTCCAGCCTGGGCAACAGAGTGAGACTTCGTCTCAAGTAAAATAAAATAAAATAAAATAAGTAAATGCACGATATGTTTGACCAAAAAAAAAAAAAAAACAAAAAACAAAGGCCAGGCATAGTGGCTCACGCCTGTAATCCCAGCACTTTGGGAGGCCAAGGTGGGTGGATTACCCAGCTAGTCAGGCGTCTGAGGCAGGAGAATTGCTTGAACCCAGGAGGCAGAGGTTGCAGTGAGCCGACATCATACCCCTGCACTCCAGCCTAGGTGACAAAAGCGAAACTCCATCTCAAAAATAAATAAATAAGGCCAGGCATGGTGGCTCACCTGTAATCCCAGCACTTTGGGAGGTCAAGGTGGGCATATCACCTAAGGTCAGGAGTTCAAGACCAGCCTGGCCAACATGGAGAAACCCTGTCTCTAGTAAAAAATACAAAATTAGCTGGGTGTGGTGGCAGATGCCTGTAATCCCAGCTACTCAGGAGGTTGAGACAGGAGATTCGCTTGAACCCGGGAGGCAGAGGTTGCAGTGAGCCGATTTCCCGCTATTGCACTCCAGCCTTGGCAATAAGAATGAAACTCCAACTCAAAAAAAATAAATAAATAAAAATAAATTTCATTCTTCTGACCACTACCAGTATCCAGCCCCACTGAGGTGGGAGGCAAGTGTTCAGCACCTGGGCCCTTAGTTCCAGCAGGGCCGTGAACAGGGACTTTTTGTGCCAGGAACAGTAGAAAATATGGCAACTATGTTCGCCACTATCAAGGAGGAACTTGGAGTTTCGTTGAAGGAGCAAAACTGTAACTGCCCAAGGGGGTTCGCCGTGCCCCCTACCTAGGCAGAACTGATTGATCAAGACAGGGGAACTGCAACAGAGAAGGCGTAGTTCACACAGAGCCGGCTATGCGGGAGACAGTAGGTTTATCATCACTCAAATCAGTCTCCTCGAGAATTCTGGGAGCTGAATTTTTAAGGATAACTTGGTGGGTGGGGGGAAGCCAGTGAGCCAGGAGTGCTGATTGGTCAGGGATGAAATCACAGGGAGTCGAAGCTGTCTTCTTGTGCTGAGTCAGTTCCTGGGTGGGGGCCACAAGCTCCCACGAGCCAGTTTTCCCATCTGGGTGGCTCCAGCTGATCCATCAAGCGCAGGTTCTGGAAAGTCTCTCAAGCACTGATCCAGGAGCAGTTCAGGGAGGGTCAGAATCCTGTAGCCTCCAGCTTCGTGACTCCTAAACCACAATTTCTAATCCTGTGGCTAACGTTGGTCTAGTCCCCAGGCAAGAAGAAGGTCTGTTTTGGGAAACGGCTGTTACCATCTTTGTTTAAACTACAAAGTTTCTCCCAAAGTTAGTTCAGCCCATGTCTGGGAACAAAGACAGCTTGGCAGTTAGAAGCAAGATGGAGTCAGTTTAATTAGCTCTCTTTCACTGTCTCAGTCATAATTTTGCAAAAGCAGTTTCAGAATGACTATCCGTGAGTTTGTAAAATAACCCAGGATGCCTGTCTTCACAGCACATAGCCTACTGTGTGCCCAAGTTGATCAATCAACTAGATGGAAAGACCAAAAGAAAATGGCCTTGCCCTGCTAGAGAGTCTTCAGGTCTTCCTTTGGGCGCATGAGCAACATGGATGGGAATGGAGGAGGAGGGGAAAGAAAAGACACCCTCCGTAATTGGGACAGAGTTCAGAACTCTTAAGGCCAATTCTTCCATGCTGCCTGGCCCCACCTCCCCCAGAGACTTCTGGTGCTTTATGTAGGCTTCCTTGTGGCTGCCCTGGAGCAGTGAATGGGCCTGCCTTCACTCCAGGTGATCTTTATCCAGGGTCTATGAACACCCTAGAAGTAGTATCCACCATGAATTGGGTGAGTAATTACATGTGTGCACATGTGTGAATATATGGACCCACGCATATGTGTTCACAGTTTTCTTCAAATGCCCCCATGATATGTATGCCAGTTACCAACTTTTTACTTCTCAGCTCCGTATTTACCCACCAATACCTGCTCTGTGATCATGGACAGGATTCCCATGAGCATTTCTCCTTTACAGTGAGCATGATGTGATGCTTTCTCAGTGGAGGGTGCTGAGAGAACAGTGCAGGTAGAAGGAACTTCTCTTCCTGAGTCTGGCTGGTGTGGGGACATCCAGTGGTGCTCTGCCCCAGTCATGTGCCTGGAAGGTCCCAGGCAGTCAGCCTGGCATGGTGATCACCTTCTTAGTACCCTCCCACCACAGGTACCACGTGATCCCTGCCTCCTGTCCATACTGGAGACCCAATCCTTCTACATGCCCATACTCTCAGTCCAGCAATGTGGCTTGCATGGGCGGTGGAGGTTTGTTTCCTGCTTGTCCAATAATTGCAACCAGCTCTGGCCCATGCAACCCAGCAGATCTCTCTGCCATGTGGGGTGCTGCAATGATACTTTCTCCAACAATGTCTGATCTCCAGCTTGGAGAGATGCCCCATTCAAACACTGCCCTTCTTGGGTACTCCTCCCCAGCTGTAGGGAGAATAGCACTATAGGATTCTCTTTAGGTCACATAGTTGCTCTTTTATCATAGCTGAATAATTCTTTATATTAAACTTCCATTGCATAAACCACTTGTGGTTTCTATCTCTTGATTGGACTTAGGCTGATACAGTACTCGTGACCCCCAAAGCCTTAAGATCCACCATACCTAGTCCCAGATAAAACAAAAATATGGAAACTCTCAGCTCATTGCCCAGCACACAGAACACAATCCATCCAAGTAGCTGTTACTACCATGTGTTGGAGACGGAGGTCAGTTGCTGCATAGGGCTGGCAGCTCTGCAGAATCGCCTTAGACGTTCTCTGCTGCCTGTTTAGCTTGAGCTGCATTCTCCCTGGAATAGCAGTAAAATAACAAGTAGCTAAAGCGATCACTCATGGAGCGCACACTTCATCTCAAGCAGTGGGCCATGAGTTTCGTATGCACTATTCGTCCCATTGTGCAAATGGAAAAGCTGAGGATTAATGAAGTTGGAAACTTGCCAAAGTTTTCACAGCTGACCCTGGAAAAGCTGGACTTTGAACCCAGGTACATCCAATTCCAAAGACCAAAGCTTTCACCACCACAATAGAATTCTTTTTACCATTTGTTGCCGTGTCAAGGTCTGTGCTAAATGGTTCACAGTGGTTATGTAATATGTTTCCTGTGATGGCTGTGTTTGGTAAGCATTGTTTTTGTTTCTGTTTTATAGATGAAGAGACTAAATGTCTCACCCAAGCCCTCTCAGTTAGTGAGAGGTGCAGGCAGGATTTGAAACTGGCTCCCTGACTCCAGAGCCCGTGGCTCACATCATAGAAGTGAACTTCAGGGTGAGAATGTATCTACACCTGGGGACCCTGATGGGTGAAACAATGGAAAGCACACAGCATTTGACTCACATACAGTTCGGGCTGCTCCCAACAATGCCATCCACGTGTGTTAATAAAGGATAGAGAGCTGGCAAGGAGAAGGGTATAGGTGTAGGACCAGGTGGGCTGTGTCACGCCCTAACATACCTAACCTGAACCCCACCCTAACCCTCAGAGGCAGGGATGGTCTGTAGGCACCTGGATTAGGCTGGTTCGGAGGATCCATGTTCATCACCAACCCTCTCCTAGGGAGGGGGTTCCCTGACACTCAACATCTGGATCTGCCCGGATCGAGCCACTACGGAATCTTGCCTAGACCCCAGGCTCTGATTCCACCTCATCCATCGTGCCAACCTGCGAGATCAGTCCCCTTTGTGTGGCTCATGGTTGTTCACTGATTTGGCTCTAGGACCCCAGACACTGATGGGGAAAAGGAAATATGACACATTATGAGATCCAGAATATTTGCAAGTTGCTAAGAAAAAGCACAACTATTCCAGATACTGAGAACAAAAGAGCATATTCTCCTCTAGGTCTTCATAGAGAATTCACATCCTCAACACTATCCCTGCAACAGATAAGGATCAATGTTCAAAACCATGCTTTGTATAATGTGTATCATGTCCCTCAACCAAAGCACAAAGCATTCTTCAAGGACTCAGTGGGAAGCAGTCAAGCTCTCAAGTCCGTGGCTCTGGCTAAACTGGTAATAGGTTTAAGAATATGTGTCTAGAGATCAAATACAACATGTACTCTGCAGGCACTTATCCACGAGTAGCATTTCTCTTAGCCAAGCTTTTGAAAAGTACAATATGGCTCTGAGGTTAAAATTTTACTTGGAATATCAGACCTTTCCATTGCCAGTTAAGAGACAAGCCATATGTCTTAATAACAAACTGAGCTGGGGCTTGGAATAGATCCTTTTATGAAAACTCAAGTGCCAGAAAGAACATTCCTCTTTTTCCCTGCTGCTGCCAAGCCATGCAGAGGCGGAGGCTCGGGTACATGCAAGATTGGGCTTCACCTGTAACCCACTGCCACGGCCGAGGAAGGCCTTGCTGCTGGAGGTGTAATGGACATTAATACTGCTTTACAAGAGATGCTGAAGACCACCCTCATCCACCATGGCTTAGCATGTGGCATTTGCGAAGCTGCTAAAGCCTTGGACAAGTGCCAAGCCCACCTTTGTGTGTTCACATCCAACCGTGATGAGCCTATGTATGTCAAGTTGGTGGAGGCCCTTTGTGCTGAACACCAAACCAACCTAATTAAGGGTGACAACAAGAAACTAGGGGAATGGGAAGGCCTCTGTAAAAGTGACAGAGAGGGAGACCTGGTAAAGTGGTTGATTGCAGTTGTGTAGTGGTTAAGGACTATGGTGAGGAGTCTCAGGCCAAGGCTGGTCTTGAACTCCTGGGCTCAAGTGATTCTCCCACCTCAGCCTCCCAAAGTGCTGAGATTATGGGCATGAGCCACTGTACCTGGCCTGTGTCACTTTCTAACACCATCAGAGGCTCTCCAGAATCCAGTTCAGCCCCTTAGCATGATACATAAGACCGTCACGCCCTCCTCTCCCTTACAACGCTCGCAGCCCTTGAAACGTGGCATTGCTCGTATCCCCTCGCCCTACCCTGCCGTCTCCTCTCTGCACACCTTCGCTCAGGCCTCTCCCCACCCACAATGACATTTGCTCCTCTTTTCACGTTGGCCGCTCCTACTCATTCTCCAAGGTTCTGTTCAATTCTTATCTTTTCTATAAATTCTTTGACTTACTTCCCTTTCACAATAGCGGACTAAACACATGCTGCCATCTCTCTACCCAGGCCCATCCTCCAAAAATGACAGGGAAGAAAAAAAATTAGTGTTCTCAAAAAGATAACAGGAAATGTTCAGAGAAGCAGAAGCACTGACACGTTTCTGAGAAGCTGCAAGCAGACAGGATCGGATTTGACACTGCAGCCCAGCTGATGAGCAGCGGCCAAGGACATCCTACATGCATCCTTGCGTGTACATATTACAGTATATACTACAAATGTGGGAGCAGCAACAAGGCACTCCACACCCAGAGATGGTGAATGGCTGGAACAAGACGGGACCAAAGGGCTGTTGACAGAGGGTTAGACAAGTACACCCGTGGAAGGAGCTAGACGGATGGACCCTGAATATTTCCCTCAACTCCACCCCGACAGACAAGATGACCAGGACAGCAGTGCCTGTCTCCTGGTAGGAGCTGTGTTAGGGAATGAGAGACAGGACGCGGCCCCATATGGCTGGCAAAGCCAAGGAAGAGTAAGCAGCAGCCACGCCCCAAAGACCAGCAGTGAGAGCCCGGCCGTCCACCTGGTGGTGCTGCCTGTTCCCCACTCTCCTGGAAGGCAACACGGAGCACAGGCTCCTCCAGTGACTTCCGGCCCTCCCGCACGGCAACCAGGCCAGCAGATTTCTTGCAGAAAATCTCATGGATAAAGATGAGATCACTGTCAAAAAATATCATTTGAGAAGCACCACCACGAAAGGGAGACTTCCACCTGAGGAAACATAATAACCATGCCTAGTATTTACTGAGCATTTATGTGTCACATGAATACCTTATGAGTCTTACCTTATAAGATTTTAGGGTAGGACTATTTTTATCGCTGCTTTATAAATGAAGAAACTAAAATGTCAAGTGCTTAAGTAACTTCCTCCAAAGTCACTTAGCTTAACATGAGAAGCCACAATTTTACCTCAGCTGTCTGGCTCCAGATCTGAAGATTAAACAGAACCAGAAAACGAGTAATATGCTTGAAGTAAGTATAATTAATATTCTCAAATAAGAAAGGATGGAAAAGAATCAGTTAGAGATGTTAAAGATGAAAATGTGTTCATTTTGTATTACTGGTCATGAAAATAAAAAATAAAAATATATTCATAGATAAAAAAATAAAACCACCTGAGTGCATGAGCTATGTAGTGGAATGTATGCAGCTGAAGAGATCATTAGTGAACTGAAAGACTGGAATCCTCCCTGAAAACAGCAGACTTGGATAAATAAACAGAAAGAAGAAAAGATAATAGACATGAAAGATAGTTCCAGAAGTGCCAACATTCACCCGTGAATGTTGAAAAGAGTTATGTGTATGAAAAGAGAGACCACTAGAGAAATGGATATCCAATGAAACATGGTTGATTTGCAACATAAGTTTATTTCCTCTTCCTCCCCAAATCCTAATAAAATGGCAGTAGAGGAATAGCACAGGTAAAATCCTGCAATGACAAAAGGAGCAAGAGAGGAGAAAACAGCAATCAAGAATTTTGACATGTATTTTGGAGACAGTATACAATGGAGACATGATTGGAAGAATGGTAGATGATTTAACTTGGATGCCCCAGAGGGAGAAAATAAGGAGAAGCCAGTGAATTCTCTCTCCTCCACCTCCAGAGTCTCAGAAAGACTGCAAAAAGGAAAACAGGGGCATAAGTGGAAACCCTAGGCCACTTTCCCTACCGTCTTCAGCCAGGAGTCCCCTCCACCCAGGGAAGAAAGGACAGTATATTTATCATATAAATTGAACTGAAGAAACTGTACAATGGGAGGCGTGAGCCACACAGATTTGAGAGGAGGAGATAAGGTCAAGTTTAAACACAAGGATTAAACCACAATCTACATATTGAATGGTGGGACCCCAGTCCCCAGAGAGTGAGCAACCGAATTTGCAATCTACAGGCAGGGATCTGGAAGATTCATTTGTGGAGAAAAGGAGCATCCCGGACAAAGGGACTCCAATGACTGATGTGTGCTGGTTCCCCCAATGAGGAGCTGACTTGATGTTCAGATACCTTGTGGTAAGCTCGGTCATTCAACGCGCCCCGCTCCCACACAGAGACTGCAGTCAGTGTTTTGTGCCTCACCCCTAAATGTGAATACACAGCCAGGGTTTTCATTACCTGGGAGGAAGGACTCCAGAAAGAGTGAGAAAGCCTGGTTTGCCAGGGACCGAGGGGTTTCACAGGACATGGGACAGTCAGTACTACTATGGTTTGAGTTTGTCCCCACCAAAACTCATGTCGATTCTGATCCCCAATGTGGCAGCGTTGGGAGGTGTGCCTGGTGGGAGGTGTTTGGGTCATGGGGCAGATCC